ACAGTGCTCAAAAATTCTTTACAGGTACATAAAGATAAATAAATCATATTAATAATAACATAAGTAGTCTTTTTTAAACATAAGCCCATGTCTGAAACTACCTTAAATTGTATATGTATCTATCCTGCACTGTTTAATCACAAGAAATTGGGTATTAAAAAATACAAATACAATAATATAAATTAAGTCAAATTCTTTGCCAAGCGAGATTTCTACTTCCACCCTTGTTTACCTTTTTGTTTCTCACACATTAACTCATAGTTGATTGTATACATACATGCAGACACAGTTTTTATTCAGCAAATATTATTGTTGAATTGGAGATATTGTGTTAACCGAAGTTTTAAACCAATCTTTGGAACAATATGCAACGGTGCATTTAGCTGAGGCTTTTATCCAAAGCGTCTTACAATAAGTGCATTCGACCAGGAAGATACAAACTTGAAGAAAACAGAATCATATAAGTACATCAGGTTTCATAGAGCTAAAACATTTCAAGTGCTACTCAACTGGCTTTAGATAAGCCAGTCCTTTATTAGTATATACGTGCTTTGTTAGTCATTCTATCTCTCGAAGTGGAGTCCAAAGAGATGAGTTTTTAGTCTGCGCCGGAAGATGTGTAAGCTTTCTGCTGTCCTGATTTCATTCACCAGCAATGTATTCCAATGGCTCTGTGCGAGGCTGTTTTCTGTATCATAGATATTTTCACATTAGTTAACATGAACCTTCTTTATTTCTCTGTTGACTGTAGAGAGATTCCCATAAAATCTACGGTGTCACTGTTACACTTCTGACAAACTCGACCAAGCACAGGAGCATGTCTGCATCTTCTCAGATTTCAAGATTCAACATTTCAAGGCTTTTATGGTCATGTGATCATAGCTACAGTGTAGTTATGACAATGAAAATCTGAGGTCACAGGCTCTTCCAACAGTGCAACACAATAACACAGATAATAGTGCAAGTAAATAAAAAAAAAAAAAAGAATATAGTAGAAATAGTCTATAAACAAGTAATTGGAATATTGCAGTGTTAATTTCGTCAATGAAAACTATGACGAAAGATGTTCTCCAACGACCTTTGTTACACGACTAAGACGAGACGATGACGAGCTAAAAATAGATTCTTGATCATAAAAACTATGACGAAATGTATATTTAGTTTTCGGATACGGGACGGGACTAAGGTGTTAATGATGGACTATCGGACATTCAAAATGCAGCATATTTTCCCCCGTCCGTCTTGTCTGTCAAAATGCATCTTACGTTTCTAACTTGTAATATCATTATTTCCGCTCTTCACCCCAGAAGAGCGATCTTCCTGTGTCTCGTCTGTGTGTGGGGGGCGGGGCCTAACGCTCTCTCTGTGTGTGGGGGGCGGGGCCTAACTATCTGTCTGTGTGCGGGGGGCGGGGCCTAACTCGCTGGCCGTTTCTCAATCGCGAGGATGCTGGCTTGGTAGTCGCGTACTTCCAAGTCACTTCCTTCAGAAACGAAGCAAGTATACTTCCAAGCGCTTCGGAAAACGAAGAAGAATGGAACAGGTTAACAAGTGTGCCACTCTCTCTAACGGTTTCAACATAAACTGTATCGAAAATCAATACCTCACGATGTCTATCTAATTATGAACTTTCTTTACTTTCACGGAACACATTTTTGGTAATAACACATTTAACAAATTAACATATTTACCAACACATGTTCTA